ACTGTTAACTAATCCTGGGTAGCTGTGATTGATAGAGAGTGTGTATTACCCTTTCCCCATAGTTCTTGAGAGCTATTCTGCAGGGAATGCTTTCTGCCAAACATTTATATGCAACAGAATTTCTTTTCATCCTGCACACATTTCAAAAAGCCTAATCCAACTACCTTTTCCAAAAATATCCTTATTCCTGGCCTTTGTATTCTTCCTAAGATTCTGATGACATGGCCACCCCATTAACCTTGGCCTATGGGCCAGCGTAGGACATTATTTCAGGCTCATAAGAAACATACAACCAGATAGACAACCTCAGTTCCACACTGAAAGGCTTCTCCTTTACTGCCATTGTCAAGGCTAATTCTAATTGGAGCTGTAGTTGACATTCATGTTCCATTGGTACTAGCACGCCACTTAGAGCCCTTTTTACAATAAGGCTCTTTCTTCTTCTGTTGGCTGATGTTGGGAGCTCCCTGTGATGCCAAAGAGTGCAATTGGCCAAGACTACTGAAGAAATTTTTAGTCCCTTTAATATTTTTGGTTCTCATTAAACACATAGTTTAATGGGGAAGCAAAGGAGAAGGAACATGTGTTGTGAGAATATGAAATGCCAGACTGTGAAGTTTTTTATCTTCTACATTTGCCTCAACTGGTCTCAGACATATGATTTCCATTTAAAAGTGGAATTCTGCTGTGTACACTCAACCTTATGATTCAATAAAATAACACTCAATTCATGGTGTCCGCCCTAGGTTTATAATCAACCCAAGTATCAGGACCAGGTGTTCATTTTTAGAATCCTTGGAATCAAGCCATGTACTAAGAAAAATAAATTAAAAAAAAATAAGAAAGGAGCAAAGAAAGAAGGAAAGATAGTAACTGTGCTATACGAGATGATAGCTATATTAGTTTATTGGATTGTTGCAATTTCTGTATATATCAAACATCATGTCATATGCCTTAGAGATGTACAATAAAAAAGTTAGGACAAATAAATTCACTTTTGCATCCTAGGTTGCACCCTGAACCCCAAGCCCCAACACCCATCCAAGGATAATAGACACATTTTCTGTTCCTCTGTCCTTGCATTGTGATCACCTAGTGACCTTGCCATCACTGAGAGAGCCCTGTGTTGTATTCCAGTTGCCAGATCTTCAAGGCTTCCTGTACTTGCACCTGTTCTTTTCATTTTTAATAGCTTAAATATGTTGTTCTCATCTAATGAGCTGGCACTACCACATGTAGATTAACCTATTACTAATTATTAATTCTCTTTGGGAAACTATTATAGCCTTCACTCCCTAGACTCTGAGACACAGTAATAACCATGATAGACAAGATTTCTTTATACACTAAAATGTTACTCTAGTGGGTGAAGAGATAATAAATGCATGATAACTAATAAATTAGATATTTACAAAGATTACTAAGTAATCACAAAAAATAAAACCATGCAATGAGTTGACCCATGTTGACCCATGATTACACCAGAAAAAGGGAGCTGGAAAAGCTCTTCAAAGGACTGTTATTGACTTGAGCCAGCCATGCATAGACCTGTCCAAAAATTGTGTAGACTTTTGTGATTACAGTTTAATGATTCACCTTTGAATAAACATACAAAATTAAGCCATTTTTTCAATAATTAAAATAATGCTAAATGTGAGCATTAATTCTTATTTCTATATATATGTTTTATTTACTCTATTCCTATGATGTAGCCTGAGTGCTCCAAATTTCCAGAAAAATTCTGATATTCCCAAAGACTAGGACTCAGGTTGGAAATTTACCAGAAGATGAGTTATCAAAGAGAACTTGGCAGACAGAAGAATAAATGACTGTTTTAGCTTACTTCCTAGGTACCTCAGTTCACGCTTTCTGCAGGAATGTGCTGGGTAGAAGGTTGGTTCAGAAATGTGGGTTTTGCCAGCATATACAGCAAAGACTGATTTCCCAGCAGCTTAGGAGAGGAGAGGATGGAAGCCAGCAGCAGATACTGAATCTATCTATGCGCAGAGATAGGAGGATGAGTTATCAGGGGACTAGTGGTAGGGGAAAAAGAAAATGCTGAGCAGACAGCCTAGAAATGGGGCAGGGGGTGCAGAAGTAGAACCAAGGACAGCTCTGTAGGTTGCCACTCAGGAGTGGTCTTACTGGGCAGATGAGGTTGTAGCAAACTGTTGTTTCATAAATAGAGTTTGATTCCATCTTTTGAATCTTCAAAATGTTTAAGCCTCACCTTCCCTCTTGCTCTTGTGCCCCACATCTGGACAAGGTGAGAAGAAGCCCCAGGTGTTTTCCATTTAGGTGCTGGTAGAACATTCAAAGGAGGCCTTGCCCAAAGTCATTCTTACCCAGTGCCACCTGCCAACCACAATAAAACCCTGCTGTGGTCCTTGATGGCAAGCCATGAAGCTTCACCTTCTTTATTAGTTATAAAATATAGTTGCCCACTGATCCTGCTCTGGCTGCTCAGTTGGCTCCTCTGTGCTCCACATTAGGTAATAAACCTCCTGGTAGACTCTTGCAGTGAATAAAGTAGTATTAGATTCAACTTCAGGCCAGGCTTTTAAGTAAAGATCTGTCCCATCTGCTGGGGTGTTCTCATCCTGGGACAGCAAGTAAAGGAACTTCCTAGTGTGGCCGGCATCAGAGCAAAGTGAAGGGAAAGAGATGAAGAGCAAGGTTGGACCTTCATGATGGGATGAGGGTCTTCATGATAGGATGGGGGTGTTAGATTACAGGGAACTTTGTTGGCTCCTTTTAAAACATTGCTTTTTACTCTGAATGGAATAAATAAATTCTGATGGGGTTTTTGAGCAGAAGATCGATGTAATTTGCTTGTGTTTATTTAGTTTACTATAACTCAGTTTAGATATCATTTACACTCCATAAAATTCCCTCTTTTTCAATGCATACAATTCAGAGGTTTTTAGTGTATTCCCCCAAATGTGGAATGTCTCATGAATTTCCTGTCATCTTTCCATAGGGACCATGCGCATCTTCTTTGCATGATCCAATTTTAGCATATGTGCTGCTGAGGAGAGCACTTGATGCTCATTTCTGCAGAGTCACACCTACTGCTGAGTTGAGAATAGACTGCAGAAGATCCGTGGTAGGAAGGGGGGCCTGGGGAGTGCGTATGCAATCAGTCCCGGAGGGAAGGTTGTGGTTCCAACTAGAGAGGCACTGGGAAACGATGAGGGTGTGTGAAACTCTGGATGTGTTTCAAAGGCACATTCAGCAGGATTTCCTGATGGGTTGGGTGTTACCGATGTCATTCATCTCTGTTCAATATTAGAATGTCTCAGACAGGAAACAGGAACCAAATGGGCAGTCAATTATAACCCAGGAACATTGAAAAGAGATGAAACTGCTTTGACTTCTAGTGATGGAAATAAATCAAATGGGATGCAGGTTTTATTAAATGAAGGATGGTCCCCCACCTTCAAGGCAAAAACACTAGACACATATTTAAAGACGGTGGGTGTAGATTCTAAATATCAGTGAACTAGACTCCAAAACTTAAGAACGGAATTGAGAATTTGTTAAGAGCTCTGTTAGCTTTCCATGACTATAACCAATATCTGACTCAAATTGACAGAGAAAACATATATTTTGTCTCAGGTGTTCAGAGGTTCCAGACTTCGTTTAGGTGGAGACATTACTTCAAGGTCTGTGGTCAGGGTGCTGGAAGGCAGGGGTGGGGAGAGCCCTATGTCTGGAAAGAAAAAAAAGGGGGAAGGGGAGGGGCTAGGGTCCCATAATTCCCTTCAAGGGCACACTCCCAATGATCCCAAGACTTTCCACCAGGACCTGCCTTTTACAGGTTCCAATTGATCCACTCTTGGAGTTAAGTGTCCAACCCACTGACCTTTGGAGGACACATAGAATCCTATTTATAACAATAGCAAACGACTTAGGACCAAGAAAATGAATAAGTACATGTCTGAATCCCCAGTAAATGGTGACAACCAAATTAACTGGTGTCTAATCATCATTTTAGAAATTTATAGCACATAACTAAATTTCTTCTGCATTTTATATGTTTTCACTACCTCTTTTTCTGTCTTTCTGTCTGTTTATCTCTTTCTCTCCATTTCTCTTTATCACTATTTCTCACTCTCAAGCACACTTGTGAAGGCTGTCTAATTTCACTGAGCTAAAGAGGAAAGTTTCAGGTGAGTTAGGGATTAGCAGGCAGACATGGGCTCCTGGACTGTCCGTCAATACCAGTGTTCATAGCACAATGTGGCTCTAGGAGTCAGGAGACTGCACAGAGGTCCAGAACTAAGAAGCCAGGAAGCAAGGTTTGAGGACAATCAAGGTGGACAGCTGCCCCTCCCCCTATTTTAGAGCTTTTGATCACCAGAGGCCTTATTTTATATCACAATTAAAAAGACTTGAAAAGCACCTCATCAAACAAGCATGCAAAAATGAAAGCCATGGAGGGCCGATTGAGTGCAGTTAATTTTTAATTATACTCTCTCTCTGCTCTGGCTTTATTTATTGCCAAGCAGCTGGAAGGATAGAATCCACCAGAGGGTAAATCGCTAGTTCTCTGTGAACAGGAATTTCTTTATAGTACATTGTTCAAAAATAGATTACAAGTGAGATTGACACGATTCTGAATAGCTTGTTTTTTCCTCCTTAAATGTCATGGTAATACAAACCTGTCTCAACAAAGCCAAGGTCGTACAGGAGTACCAAAAGCAGTAGCTCTTAAATTCTTCTTTCTTGCTCCCACTTGAGGAAATGTGTTCAAATCAAGAAGAAAAACGTCAATCTTTACATTAAGAAGAAAAAAAAACAATTAGGAAAGGAATCTACTGGCCTCTTTATATTCAGTTCAACAACCACACCCTTGATCATTTGGGGACTTAAAAAATAAGGCAAATTGTGCTGCTAGGAAAGTTCAGATCTATTTTAAATCTCCTACAGGGCTCTTTGCCAAAACACTGTCACCCTTCGCTGGAACTGTAGCAATCTTTGCAGACTTACGAAATACTTCAGACTGGCTGCATTCCATAGAAACGATGCCTTATAAGGTGAACAGAAATCAGAGCTTGTCCAGGATGTTACTATACCATACGGGATGCTGATACATGACTATATGGAGGGAGGCATAAAATTATGAATAGGAAAACTTTTCTCTCTCTCTTCCTTTAAGATCTATTGATCGTGGGTAAATTTATGCTCAAAAAATAAAATCAAGAGAATAGTAACTATTATCATTCCAAATTCTCTCAGAGCTTAGATTCAGGGTAAATCTTCTGGGATCACATGCATTCTCAAATACAGATGAAAACAATTATGATCATTTCTCAATAACATAGAAATAAAGCACAGTGCAAATTCCTTGGGAGACATGTTGAAGGGCTGAGAAGGTGTGATGTATACTTAAATACATCAGCACTGTAGGTTTTTATTGTATTTGTATCGTGTTGCATGCTATTTATCAACAGTAAATCAATTTCAGTTTCTCTGTAAAACAACTATAAAAAAAATCTAGTATAAAAAGGTTCCGATTCCATCTCACCTTTCAGATGAGAGTAAATGGAAGTGCTCAGATCAAGAGTAAGATTTTCTTTCTCTTGAAGTTTTGTTTTTTTGTTCTTAGATACTTATTTTTCCTTTTCTGAAGTGGCTTTGCTTCTTGGTAAATCTGCCACAAGGGAGTGCTTTATCTTAAAAGAGACTCTATTTAAAACAAATCAATAACCTGAGTACTGAGCATTGGAATTGGTGAATACTGGTAAGTTCACTTCCATAAAGGTGTTGAACTATCCGATTTTAACCCAGTTTAACATCTACTCAAATCCCCAGATTGGTATATTTATTGATAGAGCATTTGAATGTTTCCTTTATAACAGCTCAATCCAGGGATGATTTCTCCCATATGTTTCTAATTTACTCGCACTTAGCTCATCGAAGTCTGGTTTTGTAGAGGAAATGTGATGTCCAAGAAGCTGTTGGGAGGCACTTTTCTTGGAGAAAGGAAGTAATGTTCTTTAATTTTATAGTTCACAAACTGACTCCTAAAGATGTGAATGCATTTCAAATGTATGAAATCACCAAGTTCAAGTATGTTCTAAGATTGGCAAAGGAGGGCTTCCATTTCTAACTGAAATGATGTCACAGTACGAAGCCAAGGCAGACAAGCAAGAAAACCGTTAGACAAAGGGGCCAGAAATTGAATTTCCAGTATTCCTTTCTCTTCAAACTGCCTTTGATTGAGGCCAAAATGCCTGTTTATAGACATTGTCAACCCATGATGTCATATTTCCCAGTAATTCTAGAACAAAGTTAAAGTACTTTGAGCAAATTTGTTTAATAGTCTTAAACTCATTTTAATATTTTAAAGAAGATTTTATTGCTCCGTGGAATCTTTCCAATCCTCGATAACAGCATGTTTAAGTTTTGGAAGTTTTGTTTCAGAAGGTTTCAGAGCTGCTGCAGAGACAGTGGAATGTACTGTGGAGCTCAAAGCCTTTAGAGCCACAGTCTTTGTTTCTTCTTGCTTTCTCAGCTGTGTGATTTTATATAATATATTTTGTCTCTGTGCAAAAATTTCTCCAAATATAAAACGAGTATTCAAACTCACCTGCAATTTGGTGAAAAAAAGTAAAATCATCTTGAAACTACAGAAACAAGAGTTGGAAGTGCAGTGTCTCAGCACATGCCAATCTGCTTCCTTCTTACTGTGTTCATTAAGAAATCTCTCCACCTTTATTGACAATTAATCTGTGAAAGGATCTTGCCAGAGAAAATAAACCCGTTTTTCAACACATTTCTGGGAATAAAATTACTATGGCAATTGGGATACATTATTTATCTGGAGAATGAGAAGTGTTGAATGGAGAGTGAGAATAGGTTTTGAACCGGAATTTGAGTGTATTTAATTCAAATTTTGATCATACAAGGTAGGATTTGGACCTCCCTTACAGAAAAAAAGAGAAATTCTGAGGAGCTTCTAGACTTGCTCCTTTGTTTCTCTCACCTGGGTGCTTCTTTCGTCACTGATGTGTTGCCTTCAGCATCTTATCAGATACCAACAACTGTGGGCTAGATGCTAGTCCAGCAGAACCACTTTGGAGAAGAATGCCCCTGTGTGAATGTGTATTCCACTATCAATCATGCTCTGGAAAAATGGCAAAATTAAAATAAATAGAATATATCTATTAAATAAATAGAATATATCTATATTCATTTTATCAACTTTGTGTTTCCCTGATGCTTCAATGTCTGCACAAACAGGCTGTAGGCATTCCCTGCTCCAGACCACCCTGGTGCACCATTGTGATAATTTGGTCTCTGCCAAAGGTTCCCCTTCTTGCCTGCCCAGCTGGGACCTAGTACATTCAAAAGCACCCCGAAACCTCCTCATGCCTTTTGAAGTTTACTCCACTTGATCTTCAAGAAAGTCACTTGCTTACAAATCCTCACTCTCTCAGCTCCCCACCTGCTTGACTGAACCTCATTCTTGAGAGTTCCTCCATGAGGTCCTCTGTGCAGCCCTCTGTCTCCAGGAGTTGTGAGTATAATCCTTGAACTTCATACGTGTCTCTAGGTACAATTTTGACAGCGCATTGGAGTAATCTTTAAAAAACCCAAAAGCAACACTTCTTCCCTCAACACCGTGGAGTTTAATTTTTCAATGTCCATTCTTCCTGTTAAATTCTGAAAATTCTCTTAATTTACAATCTCATTGAACCATATCAATCTTCTGTGCTTTGTTTTGCTATATCAAGGTACAGGAGAGTTGGTCAGTGTGCACAGACCATGGAATCTAGCTAACTTAGCCTACGCACATGTCACTGCTATGTGTGAGATGTGTTGGCTTATCTGCTCCCTGACTGACACCATGCCCAATTCCTGCCTTCCCACTGCACTGATGGCTGGTCTCCTGCCATCCCCCAGGACTGCTTTCATCCCTGTGTTCCTTGAAAGACCATCTATGCCTTTGAGCAGTTTCTTGCATGTGTGTCTTACAACCACATTCTGCTATTTGAAATAAAAGTGATTTCAGTCCAGTGTCTATGAGTCCCTT